CCCTAATGTTCTGTGATTCTGTGATTCTCTATTTTTAGAAACTCAGTTTCTTGGATTCTGTTATGAAATAACAGAAGGAATCAGTCTAAATTACTAGGAATAGAAAAACACTCCAACTGACAGTCATTTCAGTAAATGATGAACAATGAAAACCAGTGTTTTCACTTTCCCAGGTTTAGTATCAACTTTTAACAATTCAAAGATATTGTAAATACTGACTATAATATTAAAGTGTCTTATATTGAACAGATGATAATCTAAGAAACTATATGCTATAAGCTATTTTTTATTAATAAGCAGCCTCCTTGTTCTCTCATTCTATCACAGAATTTCACGAATAAGCCTTTTTTACCCAGCTGCCAATGCAAGCGCCTTTTGGTTTGTATTACCTCAGTGATCATCCTTGAAAAAAAATAAAAGGTGAGTAATTAATTCTCTGGCCAGAGACATTTGTCTACAGTTTTCTTAAAACAAATCACTTTTGTTGTATGAATCCAAATGTGATGACAGTGGTGAACTACAGAATTTTTAATGAGAGGTCCCAGAGAAAAATGAATCTCTTCTTATTTTCAAAATTACATTTGACTTAAAACATCTGTATATTTTTTTGTTTTAATTAGCTTTCTCTAGTGTTACTCTGCTGACTTCTGTGCAGTGGCTCCACAACATGATCAGTGAAAAAACCAGGCTGGAGAGGGAACAGAGAAAGCCTGATTTCCCTCAGGTTGAAATTCTTCAAGGAGCCTGTATATATCACAGTTCGTCTGTGCCTATTTTTGACTCCATTTTCCAAAGCCCTCCTCAGAAAAAGAAAATCACTTTTTAACTGATTTGTCATTCCACTGGATCCCTGAGATTTTTTTTGTTCAAGCATCCAACTGTAATCAGTATCGACTGTTTCCAATTCTAATGAAAAAATAACCAATTGTTTTTGTATGACTCATGCCTATCTGTACTTACGCTTCTGTATTGCACTGCAAATCAAAAAATGTAACAACGTAAGCAGAGGGCTGCACTCCATCCCTCTCAGCACACAGCCAGGTTTCTATTCCTGCTCATCTTCCTTCTCTCCTGTGGGATGCCCATTTTTTTAAAGTAGTATTTCCATATATTCTGAAGAAGATATACTACCTACTACCTGAAAAGAAAATTACATCAGAAGCCAAATGAAAATATACCAACCCATGTTTGAAAAGGACATTTTCTAATGGTCAGAATGCGACACTAGATTAAAACCCTGCCTCCTGGTTCATCTCCTGGTTTGTTTTGTTGCCTGTGAAACTGGTTTAATTTTTTATAAAATAATTTATTCATGTTATACATATAAATACAATACTGAAGTGGGTTTATAGTATTCTAGAAAAATCCATGTTTTGGTGAAAAAAAATCACTGAAACTGTGAAACCAAGCACTGAACCAGGTGATGCCAGAAAGCACCAAACACCCATCTCTCATTGTGAATTTTCCTTGTGACACTCTCTTTAATTAGATGATTCACACTCATATTGAAACAGCAGCAAAAAAAGGCAGGGACCCAGTCATGGGCAATGGTTTTTATTTGTCTTAACTCTGTGTGGAAGTAAAGACCATAACACTATGTGACGTTGCCTAATCCTAACAGCGAGTTCTGCTTGCTGGTGCAAGTCTCAGCCTTTATAACTTCAAAAGATATAAACATATGCCATGAGGATGGCCGAAAGCACCTCTGTCCTCCTAGGAATAGCTTTGCCAAATTTGAAGTCTTACTAAAAACTGTGGACACTTCAGAGCTCTTTAAATACTAATGCTTCAGACAACATCTTGGTGTTACCCAGGACAGAGAATGAAACAAATCCATATTAAAACATTAGAGGTAGCAAACAAGGAATATTAGAATCTGTCTTGTTCCCTGAAACTGCTGCCAGGAGCCTGGAAATCTCTCCGGAACACTGATGAGCTTTTCTGAAGTTCAGCACATCATCTACTTTTCACTTACCAAATGCATCTACAAAAATGTACTTTCATGTGCAGGGGAGTACTGCCACAGAAGGACGTTCCTTTTTTTTGTGCTTGAAGACTGTTAAATTCATGTGGGAGAGATGCTGAGTCCTTTCAAAGGATTGGTTTTCTAATTTTCCCAATCTTTTACCATTTAGCAACGGATCTACCACAGCCACCTTCAGTGCTGTATCAACTACACAGCTTCAGGGAGGGCACTAGCAACACTGGGAATCCCACCAAAATCAGTGGTGGGATTCAGATGGGATTCAAGGAGTTTCACAGTAGGAATCTATGCAAGGAGCCAGTCATGGGAAGTAGAGGACTTGCAGAAAGGCAGAGGGTCACTGTCATACTCACCTCTCCAACTTACGCAAGAAGAGAGATTCACCCACCTGGTAAATTGCCGACTTTCCTCATGCACTTCCATTTCTGTGCTTTTAAATTCATTCAGTTCTTTCCGTATTGCTGCCTAAAAAACAATGATGACATATACAACCATAAGAAACAGGAATCTTAAGGCAAGTAAAGAGACTGAAAGGAACCTGGCCCAACTCTTGTAGGTTCCCTTACAATTCCAGTTTCCCAGCCTCTCTGTGTAATCCTGAACTCTCATGCATTTCTCATCATCAAAATGAATTACTTTTTTCAATTACAGCTATTTGGAGCCATAATACACTACAACGATACTCAATGCATCAAACACCAATGATAAACAAAGAAACACAAAAACTACTGCAATGGGTGAACCAGTCCCCTCACTGAAATACGGCACTTGCTACAGGCAAAAATGTGCAAGGCACTGGGTTACCTCGACAGTCCCCTGCTGAGTACACAGCCAGAAGGGGATCATATCGCCAGGCACAGGCCCTGAGGAGCTGGTGAGTCATGCTGCATGTACAGGCACTGTACACACAGCAGGGACCTTGTGTCTCCCCACTGGAGACAGGGCTTCAGGAATGCAAGATGAATAGCAGCATTTTTTTAAGTGGAATGAGTCACTTGACTTTATTAGTTTTATATAAAATTGAATGAAATATTTGGACATTTCAGGCTTTGCATTTGCAGTTGGCAGATACTAAAGAACAGCAGAAATTCAGTGCCATTTGCAAATGCCTTGCTGCTTATGGTGAAAGAGTGATGAGCAACTTACTTCACCAGGTAATACACAATAATGATTTCTGAAATATTCTCTATTATATATACTACATATATACTACAAGGGCTTTTGTTTCTATGCCGTACACTTTCCTACCTTCACTGTGAAATGAAATGACTTTATTCTTACTCTTTTCTTTCACCATTTTACACAAAAGTAGTATCATTTCATTAATCCCTAATTAAATCTCATCTGGTGTGCATGCCTTTCAATGCAGAGCAGACAAGCAGCCTGATAAAATCATAGCGTCACCAGACTGAGGTCTCATAAATAAGAAACTTCCATTTTAAGCAGGGGATGGCTCTGTTCAGCCACAACAGAACGCTTGCATGAGGCTGCTGTAACAGCTAGGAAAGAACAGCTATTTCTGAGCACCAAATCAGCAGCAAAGACACCAGAGCTTCAGCTCCATAACATTGTTACAGTACAATCTTCTGCTCCCACTGAAATTAGAAAAATTATTTCCTTGGGAGAGAAGGGCAAGGGAGTTTCCAGGCAACCTGAGGTCTCTGCCTTTCTGTTGAGGCCAACAAACATGGGGATCATAGAGCCAGCCTCAGACATCTGTTCATCACAAAATGAACTGAGATTCAAAACTGCCACCCTAAAGTAGGTAGGAAACTCCACTGTTTGTTTTTCTGGGAAGATGGACTGAGGTGAAAGTGGAGGTGCTGGGTTCTCTAATCTCCCACAGTATACATGAGAGTGCTCAGCACCTCCCAAAACCAACATCTACAGACATTATTGGGTACATTTTTAATCTCTCCACCTTGATTTGACATGAGATTCTCCCTTGATTTTCAGATGAGCTGGCATTAATACTAAAATACAAGCTGAAATATAATCAGAACTTCACAGTCCTTAGCTAAAAGACAATGCATTCTTGCATGTACCACTTTCTATGCCAAGCATATCTCATAGGATTTCCATAAAAGTTGGTTCAAACCCAGTGCTAAAAGGGCCAGCACCTTTTGGTACATAGATCACACAGCTTTATGCCTTTTATGAAGCAGCAGAGGGAAACAGAAGAGGATTTTATGTCAGTCTTAGACTAATCTGTCTTTTAAAAGAGAATCACAAAATCATTTGTCTCATCCTTTGCAGTTACGCAGAGGAACCACTAACTGTTTGGGGCAAAACTTCCCAAGAAGGTGTGCTGCATGCACACAGTCAGTGCCAGCACTGGTGTCTGTGGCCAAGGACCCTTAGGAGGATGGAGCAGCTTCTACCTTTTTACACTTGAATGAGCTGCAGAAGTAACTATTGGTGGCAGTGACGCAGGCTTCTGCCTGCAGAAACCTTGTCTAAAGTCCAAGGGTTGTGGCCATCTTTGCTAACAGTGCGTGCCTGGTGTACCAAGGTTTTGAAAACATGAGAAATTCTGGCCTCAACTGCTGTAATGGAGATGGCAAATATGCTCCTAATAGGCACCTGAGTGGGTACTCTTAGCTGCAAGCAGTAGATGCACAGTAGTACCATGGCAATCTCAATGCCTCCAGCAGATGTCATTTGTGATGCCAGCAACAAGAGAACGTAAACCCGCCTCCCAGAAGTGAGAGATGCAAGCATTTTCTTATAATCTACATTTGTTCCTTGCCTTGTCTGCGGGAGTTAACCTGGCCCAAGGCTTGTCAGCACGACGGTCGTAATCCGGAGAATCCGTGACCTCCACATACTCGTTAAATCGAAGGATTCTTCTTGCTTGAAGTTCAGCCACTGTGGGCCTCAGGCTCAGCTGTAAGTGGGAGGCAGAAAACAGTACATTTAATAAGATGAAATAAAATAAAATAAAAGCTGAAGGTATGATGTAATCTCAAGAGAACTTTAATGGTATTTCTAAACAGGGTCACTTTCAGGTGTCTAAAAAAAGGCACCATCCTGGGAGTGCTGCTCAGGAATGGGGAAGCAGCACAACCTAATTTCTTCAATTATAAAAACAGTCTTTGTCAGGCAGGTCAGAGAGAATCGTGACAGTTATCCCTGGAATATTAATTGTGACTTTGCAACTGTCACACCCTTTACCCATGAGACAGTAGGTCCTTTTGTATTCATGATTACAGTCTGCTGTGTTCAACAAAAAGTAAGCAGGAGGTGTCTGCCCAAGTAAAAAGACCACTTTTGAACATCTAAGGGGCAGATATTCTTAGTCATTATGAAGCCAAATTGTTTCAGTCACCTTAAATAACATTCAATTTAATTAACTAAGGACAATCATATTATGAAAACTGTACTTCTGCAGGGAAGGGCAGATGTATGAAAACACCACCCATGCCCTCCCAGAACAAGCTCTCAAAGTCAGAGCAGCAGATCCAGAATCACTTTATTTCCAGGGGCAACGAGCGCAATCCCACATGCAGCAAAGACCACTGATGTATCTACAAGAACAGTGAAGGGATTTTTTAGGGCTCTTCTGCCCTCTCTGCTGCTCTAGGGAAGAAGTGGATCTACAGGTGTGGCTGCCCCCAAACATACACGACAGCAGTGGTCACGCTCACAGAGGAAACGTGCCATCTCTCTCCCTTGCTTACATGGATAAATGACCAGACCCCATATGCTTTTCCAGCTAAGGAAAGCTGGACAGGATGGAGTTTGCCCCAAGATGGACTTGGCTTGTACTGCTTTTTAAACACATTTCTCATCTGGGGGCATGACTGATGGATATTTCCAGGAATGTATGCACTCAGATTTTTAGAATCTTACAAAAAATAATCCTGTGTACACAAATACACAATACAAAAAACACATCATCACCTTTCTACTGAGTCTACGTTTTATTTCTCTTTTGGCTTCCTGTTCCTCTTCTTCATTCTTCTCTGTTACCAGAAGAGATAAAAAGAAGTGAATATTTAAGTATTATAACTGCACATACTGTATTTCTCTTGGTTGAAAGCTTCAGGACTTCCAGTCCTGGTTCATGTTTCCTCATATTTCTGGGTGAAACTGCACGTTGTCTGCTTTTTGGATTTTGTGTGCTCTCATTTCTTTTCCCTGTCCTCATTTCCCCTGAGACTGTAGACATCTCAAGTCACCACTGTGGGTCAGGAACACAGCAAAGAAGAGGTGTCTGTCATTTCCTTTCTGTGCAAAATAGGAAGTACCCGGAAAGAGCTGCCTAATGTTTCAATTACTTGTCCTAACATTAAATCACTGTTACTTTTACTTCCAACATGCCACCTACTGACATTAGAGTAAGAGTCTAATTGTTCATAAGGGTCAAGAAAAAAGTTTGCTCTGAGTATCTGAATCAGCCAAGTGTCCTCTGCTGCTACAGGATGCAATGAATCAATGACAATTTGTTTCACTGTCATTAGTTAATGCTAATGGGTTTTGTTACTTTAGTATTTTTTCTCTGGTTTTGTAATGCAGGCATATGATTCAGCAAACAAGCCATCTTGGTTAAGGGCCGCTAGCTAGACCAAATGAATGAGTACAGCAGAAAATTACATGCATTTTTTGAACATATTTGGGCATGTGACTGAAATGGGCTTTTAACAAATTTCTGGGCTAACCAAACTTGCTTTCTTGAGTGCCAATGAAAAGCACACTTACACAGGCATGTTCATATGGACTCTGCATTTTTTTAAATTTATGTACATTTTGAAGAATATTATTTGCCCTTGCAGTCCACATCTAATGGTCATATGCAAAGTTAACTTTGTTGTGGCTGAAATATCTCACCTAGAGATATCCATAAAATTCTGATCCTGTTTTATTCATGGTTGGGAGTTATGGACTCCATGCTGCAGTTCAAGGCTAAATACAAATTTAAAGGAATTAATTTGTCTATTGTGGGTGCAGCCAACCTGTACAGATGAAAAAGCAGTTTTAATTCCTGGTATAGTCCTATTTGCCCTGTCTGCTGTGGCCAGTCTGCTGTGGTAGCACAGGCAACCTGGCTGCAGCAAAGTTTCTGTATCATGATTGACATGCTAGAGGCAACACTACAAGAAGTCATCTTGTGGTACTTGCAGATTTCCTTTGCTAGCTCAAAGGCTCTCACATAAGGAGAATAC